GAGAGGTTGCAATTTTATACCCAGGTCGGGTTGCGTTGAGAAAAAAATTACGGTTGCTTTCCAAAAACCAGAATGGAGGAGTCAAGAATTGAAAATTAATTGCTCCCCTTCCTTCTTTTCAGGATCTGCAGCCCAATGCTATCAGGCTCAAATGATCCCCTTTTGGGGGGTTACTTGGACTTTTAACCCAGAAATGTGGGGAGGGGGCACTTCGGATTACAAGTTGATTTTGTTGGGGTGCATCACAAATCCTAAGGCTGTTCAGTGAATTTCCACGAGATCAGCCAGATTTGCTATTTATTTATTTTATTAAGGCTTATTGTACATTTTTTTCCTTAATATACATAACTCTTCATAGCTATACAACACCATTGTGTACAGGTTGGATCCAGTCCCTTTCTGTCCCCCCATATGTTATACATCCTAGTTAAAACTATCATGAAGTATAACCTCTCCATCATATTATACATCCAAATTATCTCTATTATCTCGATTTGCTGTTTATTGTCTGTCTGTCTGTCTGTCCGTCCAGACACTGTTTCTAAAGAATAAAACATGCTGCCTTGATATTCTGATAGTGCTACTTTGGATCTGGCAAGTAGATACGGAGCTAAGAGAATGCTTAATTCTTAGAGTTGAGGGCCTGCCTTTTTAAATTTAGCCCTCTGTCCCAAAAGGAGGAAAACAGAAGGGCCCCCCAAATTAGAGTTGGACAAATATTTTGCCCTGTAACACCCCAGAGCCCTGGGGCCGGATCCATTGAAGTGTTGATGAAGAGAGCAAGGAATGGCAGCCTGGAGTCTGGATTAAGCCAAGGAGAATGAGAATTCAAATGGCAACCAGCGAACGGCAGCTTTTAACCTGTTTCTTCTGAACCCTGGGATTTCAACCTCATGTACTAAGAGTATCGCTTGTTATCGCCTTTCCGCTTGCTTTCTAAGCCAGAAAGTTTCTTGAAACCTAGTGGGGTGGGCAGACCCGATACTCTAACCCTGATAGGATTGCCAGCTGATCACCCAAGATGTTGGTGGGCCTGCTCTTCTCACTTTAAAACAGCTGGCAGCGTTCAGCAGTTGAAACTTTTTCCTGGCAGGGTGGAAGGTGTTACAGTCACTTGCTCACATCCACAAGAAGTAGTTGGTTAAGTGGTATAGTTACACCTCCTAGTAGTGTCATTTGCCAGGGTTGACGAGAGTCGTGTCAAGTGGATGGGTCTGGTGATCTCATCTATCTTCATCAGAACTCTACCCAATATATATATATATTCTACCAATATATTAATAAAACCCTCAACTTCTTTGAAAAATGGCAGAACTTGAACAGAAGAAATTGAGTCCCCACCCCCCCCACTTAAATGGGCTGTGGTGGAAATCTACAATATTTTCAGAAGAATTGGTTATCCCTGGTTAAGAATATAATTCAAAGCAAAAATCGCCTCCTTGAATATGCAGTAGGAATTTCTGTGTAAAAATATGATTTGTGGGAAGCAGAAAAAATATTGACTAAGTGGTTAATTCCACAGAATTAAATGATTCTCAACAAATATTCGAAATTGTAGCAGTAAACAGGTTGGGTCCTTATTCGGGTCTAACTTCCGAAGTATATTAAATGCAACTTCTATCTTCTTTATTTAAAGCATTTATATAGTCACCCATTTTTTAAAACCAAGCTCTGGATGACTGATGGCCAACTCTTCATTTGTACAACCTCTCAACATTTAGGTTAGCTTTCCAAAAAATGTGGAGCCCTGACTTGGCAAATCTTAAGGCCAATAAGTAGGAATTAGCTCGTTTATTCCAGTCAAACATACCTTCTATTTATGAATTGAAAGAATGAGTACTGTATAGAAAAATGCATCTGTAGGATGAACTGGATTCTGTATAATTTTACTAAGAAATAGGTTCCCAACTTATTTATTTGAATTTTTACAACTTCTCCTCGGATAACATCTGCTAGAATGAAACATTTGCTAGAATGAAAGGAGCTTTTTTCCCAGTGAAATGATTTTTCAGAAGTTTGGCTGTTTTCACAAATAGCTCCCTAACCCTGAAATATATTTATCATATAAGACCCCACTCTCTCCTTTCTACATTGGTTTTGACAGAAAGCCATTCCAAGCAAAGAAATTGAGAAGCGAAGGGGTTTTTTTTTTCCAATGGAGAGAGAAAAACAAAGTTATAAAACCACTTTTTTTTTTGCAGAAAAAGAAAATAATATGGTTACGATTCATACATAGTGAACAGCTTAATTTGATTTTAAAAGCTTTTGTCCCAGAAAAAGAAAATCTTTTATTTGAAGCTACTACATTCTGGTTAAGACATGGTTTATTTGGAGTATCAAAAAATAGCAATTTGATGGGTCTCTTGTTTTTATTTTCTTGTCTGTTTCTTGTTTATATTTTTTATTTTCTAGCATCTTTTATCAAGCTAGCTTGCTTTGTGTGTATAAGCCTACATTGGGAGAGAGATAGTTTAGCTCCTGGGCTTCATCCCCAATTCTACAGATATGTGGAACTACCATATGATACCCATCGTCCTCAGCTGGTAGAAACAGGGTGTCAAAAATTGAGATTATCCTTCCAGAGATGTGGAGGACATATTCTCAGGAAAGATGGCTGGATTATGGAGGATTGTGATGGTAAAGAAATTTCAAGAAATTTTAGGATATCCCACAAATGATAACAGCTGAACTTCTTGGCATGGCCACCACCTCATCGGCTGAGGGTATCTGAGCATCTTCTGTGCTGTATGACTATGACACCTGTTCGATGTCCCCTGATATAGCCAGTAGAGACCCTCCTCCATGAAGCTTGGGATTTAATATGGTGGTCAATGAGCTCCGCAGAATGACTAGTCAACACAGGCCCACCGAGGGGGCAGTGTGGCTAACTCTCACAACCAGGAGTGGGCTTCGAACATTTTTAGCAATGGGTTCTCTGCCTAGTTGCTGGGTGGGTATGGCCATGGTGGGCGTGGCCTAGCCAGCCACCTGCACCACGGCGGGGTGGTATTGATGTTTTTGCCCTTCCCGGGCTCCGGAGGCTTCAGTCGAGCCTCCAGGAGGGCAAAAATGGCCTCCCCGGGCTCCGGAGGCTCTCTGGAAGCTGGAAAAGGGCCCGTTTCCGGCCTTCCCGAATTTCCGGGAGGCCTGTTTTTTCTGCCTTCCCTGAGCCTCTGTGTGCGCCCTGCACTTACCTGCATCCAAAACGGGTTGTGTGGGGATTTGGAGTGGGATTTGGGGGTTCTCCGAACTGCGCAGTATCTTAGCTAGGTGCTCGCCCGAACCCTTGAGAACCGCCAGCCGGATCACAATGCTATGGTCAGAAACAACAATTTTCTTCTTTTTTGGCGGGGGGGTTGTAGTGCCAAAACTATATGCTCAGGAGGATTGTACAGAGGTAAACCAGCAGATTTTGTGGGGGTCCTTGGTGCTCTCTGAGCTTGGCTGCTTTCCTGCAGACCTTTCATGACCCAACTAGGTAACGTTATCAGTGCTGGAAGGACATGCAGTTCACTCTCTGCTGATCTACATTTAGGTAGTTTGCCCTGCCATTCTTGCCCCAATTAAGGGGTTATTTTATTATTTTGTATGAAGCAATAAAAAGCAAGGAGTTGGTATCCAAAAACACTCCCACTGATATAGGGCAAGCCCTGAGGGCAGGCAGTCCTCGACTTACCACAGTTCATTTAGTGACACTGAAAAAAAGTGACTTTTTCACACTTATGACCATTGCAGCGTGCACACACACACACACACACACACACACACACACACCCTGCCATGGCCATGTGATCCAAATTCAGACGCTAGGCAACAGACACATATTTACGACGGTTGCAAGGTCCCCTGGGGTCATGCGATCCTCTTTTTACGACCGTCTGGCAAGCTACATCAACGGGGAAGGAAGGCAGCTTCGCTCAACTCCCAGGTTACTAACTTATGAACCGTGGGGATTCGCCGAACGACAGTGGCAAGAAGAGTTGGTAAAATGGGGACAAAGCTGCCTTCGCAAATGTCTCGCTCGACAGCAGAAATGTTGGGCTCCCTTTGTGGTTGTAAGGCAAGGACTGCCCACCCGCAAGCTTGGTTTGAAGAGAAGATTTGGCCTACTTTTCTTTCTTTTGGGGTGTGTGTGTGTGGCCTGTTGAAATAGGCATTTGCTGGCTTGAGAGGGGAATGTTTGCTCATTGACAAAAAATTTAGACAGGGCCCAGGTGGTCTCTCAAGGTGCTTGGTTTAATTTCCTCAGGTTTTGAAAGAGGCCGGGCCCCATTTCCTTCTTTGGATGCTCTTGTGTCATCACAGAGGAAATGGCGGAAAGCCCACTGACCATTTGAAACTGCCTGTGGTATGAGAATGGTTGGTACTGGAGAGGAAATGGAGCAACAGCAATGCAATAGATATTTAATATAATACACACACACACACGTATATACTGTACATGTGTATATATATATTTGATAGTCACAAACACACACATACACACAAACACATATATACAAAAACAATTGTAAAGAGGAGGAAATGGAACAACAGTTATATACACACACACATATTATATATACATATGTGTGTGGGTATACCTTTGTGTATTTTATATATATTATATAAATATGTGTGTGTGTGTATAATGTTCCATTTCCTCCCCTTTACAACAAAAACAGTTGTAAAGGGAAAGAAATGGAATGACAACAATTATATACACACACAACACACACACACACCCAAGCTCGAGTCCCTTAACAACTCTGTTACTAATTTAGCAACTGCAGTGATTCACTTAACAACCGTGGCAAGAAAGGTCATAAAGTGAGGGAAATTTAACTTCGCAGCCATCTTGCTTAATGATGGTAGTTTGGGGCCCCGTTGCGGTCGTACGTTGTACCTGTGTTGGGTGGCCTCGTTGGGATGTTTGATGGGTTCTTCACCTGATCTTAAAGTCAGTTTCAAGAGAAGCCCACCTAACAGAGGCCCTCCTTTGTCCTTTTCTGTCCCGGCAGGTAGCCAGGTGTGTCGCCCACCGTTGCTACACGGTTCTCTCCCTTGGCTGGATGGGAGCAAAGCTTTGGGAAGCCACCATGGTGCTGCTCCATGGAACCTGAGTCCTTTCTCCAAAGCTCCCATCCATCACAGCTCGCCGGGGCCTCTTTCGGTCTACCCTCCAGCTTCTACCTCCACGCTGTCGGCCGGCCACTCCAGTCCTCACCTCTTCACTTTCCCACCCACCCCTCCTAAAGATGTCTCCCCAGATCCTTCCATCTCCACCCCGGGTTCCACGGGGTCCAGCCGTCAAGAGGAGAAGGAGTGCATTAAATATCAGGTGTCTCTGGCCGAAACGATGAAGCTGGAATCGTCTCATTCCCGGAGCAACATGGCGTCCTTAGGAGCGTCGTCTTCTGGTCATCATCCGATCACCACTTATCCTTCCTACGTTCCTGAATACGGCTCTGGACTTTTCCCTCCAAGCAGTCTCCTTGGGGGATCACCAACTGGATTTGGGTGCAAATCCAGACCCAAGGCTCGTTCCAGCACAGGTAGGGTCCTTCTTGATTCCTTCCTGGTTTGGAGGAGCGGTTGGGTGGGCAGATGGGGAAGAAATTTGGATGGTGCTTCAAAAGAAGAGCAGGTGTTATCAACATGTTGGAAGTGGTGTTTTCATATTTTGAGGCTGGGGAGCTGTTGTAAAAAAGATCAGACCCACTGAACGGTCAGAGAGGAGGTCAAATACCATGTTTCCCTGAAAATAAGACCAGGGTTTATATTAATTTTTGCTCAAAACAGACACATTATTTTCTGGTTAGGTCTTATTTTTGGAGAAATACAGAAATGGTCCAAATGCATCCGCCTGGCTGACAATCCTAACGGGGGCTTATTTTCAAGGTAGGGCTTATATTACAAGCCTCCTGAAAATCATGCTAGGTCTTATTTTCCAGTTGGGTCTTATTTTCAGGGAAATGGGGTAGGTGTCTCAGAATCTGCTTGCCACTTGGGATTTAGACAAACAGGAAGTTTGTTTTGGGGAACAACGATTCTGGGGTGCCTATTTGACCTTCTCGATTTGTCAGCCATGACTTAGGGCTGAGTCCTCAGTCTTGTTGAAGAAACCAGCGTTAATCAAACTGTGATTTAAATCAATATGTGAAGCTGGCCCATGTTATGACACGTTTCTGAGGTCTGATACAATATGTATTTGTTTGTTTTCTTGTTTGTATCCCATCTTTTATTCTTTTTACAAATAACTCCAAGTGGTGAACATAATACTCTTTCCTCCTCTATTTTCCTCACAACAACCCTGTGAGGTTGGTTGAGCTGAGAGTGAATGACTGGCCCAAAGTCACCCAGCCAACTTTTGTTCCTGAGGTGGGACTAGAACTCAGGATCTTCTGGTCATTGGCCCAAAATAATCCAGCCATCTTTCATGGCTGAGGTGGGACTAGAACTCACCGTCTCCTGGTGATTGGTTCAGGGTCACCCAGCTAGCTTTCATGACTAAGGTGGGATTAGAACTGAGTCTCTTGGTGATTGGCCCAAAGTCACCCAGCCAGTTTTCATGGCTAAGGTGGGATTAGAACTCCCAGTCTCCTGGTGATTGGTCCAGGGTTACCCAGTCAGCTTTCATGACTAAGGCAGGACTAGAACTGAATCTCTTGGTGATTGGCCCAAAGTCACCCAGTCAGTTTTCATGGCTAAGGTGGGACTAGAACTCCCAGTCTCCTGGTGATTGGTCCAGGGTTACCCAGTCAGCTTTCATGACTAAGGGGGGACTAGAACTGAGTCTCTTGGTGATTGGCTCAAAGTCACCCAGCCGGTTTTCATGGCTAAGGTGGGACTAGAACTCCCAGTCTCCTGGTTTCTAGCCTGGCGCCTTAATCACCACTCCAAAGTGGCTTTCAGGCAGCAATGTTGCGTGCATTGTGACACCCTGGCATCAATTACCTCATCTGCCTTAGTTGTGTCATTTGCACAACGAGGAAGATGATGTCACTTGGCCTTCTTGGATGCCGAACGAGCACCCTTACTTGCCGTGTGAGAACTGGGAGTTCTAGAAGCCACTGCTTTCGCAACCTGGCTGGGAAAAAGCAAATCAACTCTTTGGTTTCCACCCATTCAGTGAGGTCATGGGGCTTGCTATCACCTTGCAGGACCCAGGAGGGTGGGCCTTGACCTTGTGACTGTTCATTTAGTGACCGTTTGAAGTTATGATGGTGCTGAAAAAAAAGTGACTTATGACCGGTCCTCGCACTTACAACTGTTGTAGCATCCCCATGGGTGCATGACTGCAATTGTGGGGGGCTTGGTAACCATCTCGCATTGAGGATGGCTGTGGGGTCACACGATGGCCATTTGCAAACTTGCCAGCCAGTTTGCAACAAGCAAAGTCAATGGGGGAAGTTGGGTTAGTGGAACGACTGCTTGATCTGCTTAACGACTGTAGCATAGAATTGAGTGTGTCTCACTTAATGACTGAATTGCTTAGTGACAGAATTTGCAATCTCACTTGTGGTCATCAGTGTAATGGCTCCTCCAGAATATTTCCTGAAGAAAGAAAGATGTGTGTGTATGTGTGTGTGTTGAAAATTGTTAAGTTTTGGTTGTTCTTGTGGGCTATGATGGCGGTTAAGTCTTTTTGGGGTTTTGATTCTGTCTCCCAGTCAAATGTATACTTTTCTTTTGATATATGACTGTCTCTTTTTAATTTTTTTTTCTTGTTGCAAATGTTATTTTATGAAAAAAAAGGTCTATTTTTAAAAGTTTTTAATTTTTTTAAATTGGAAACCGCCCCGTAGCTGGGAAGTTGGGTGGTCTTTAAATTAAAAAATGAAACAAAATATAATAGTATTTCCCCTGATGATTTGATAACTCTCCTGCCTATACCAGAATGTTGAAAGGCAACCGACATGAGGGTATAATTTGTGATTTGGAGCTATTTCTATTCTTTGCCTTGCAGGAAATAGGATTCCTCTGAAAAAGACTTGGAAAACAGAATAAGATTCAGCACGCGAGGAGACTCAATTTCTGTCTAGGTGCTCTTATAATAGAGAAATAAAATCCTTTGCTGATGGTTCTCTAATCCCAATGTAGCCAAAGCCAAGCAAAAATATTGAATAAAGGGGTTTTGTCTAAGACAATTTAGTATGGGGTCTAGATAGGGTTAGACTAGAGTCTTGTATTCAGAATCAAAGTCACCCAGCCGGGTTTCCGGTCTAAAGCTGGACTAGAACTCACTGTCACCTGGTGATTGGCCCCAAACTCACCTGGCTGGCTTTCATGCCTAAAGCGGGACTAGAACTCACTTTCTCCTGATGATTGGTCTAAAGTCACCCAGCCAGTTTTCATTGCCATAGGCAGGACTAGAACTCACCGTCTCCTGGTGATTGGCCCCCAAATCACCCAGCTGACTTTCATGTCTGGGGGGGGGGAACTAGAACTCACCATCTCCTGGGGATTGGCCCAAACTCACCCAGCCAGTTTTCATACCTAACATGGAACTAGAACTCACAATCTCCAGGTAATTGGCCCCAAAACCAGCTTACATGACTAAGGCAGGACTAGAACTCACCGTCTCCTGGTTTCTAGGCCATCACCTTACTCACTACAGCAAAGTTCCCCTTTAATTTTGCCTCATGGGAGATGGGGACAGAAAGTTAAATCAGATTTAAGTTTAATCACCTCCTTCAGGCCTGGGTAGCCTTGAAATGAACGGGAGATGGAAGGAAACAAATTCAGAATCGATGGGCCATGCGAAGAAGTTAATATGCAAATGCCACATCCATGTAATATTGTCACACTCTTCTTTTTTGTTAAGTAGGCAGCAAAAGACGTGTATTTTGCCTCGCATAGAAATAAAAATATGTTCATTTATTTAGCGCTTGGTAGGAAATACATGAATAGCAGCACGAAAAATGTATGGAAAAGAGAAACAGTGATAGGATACACATAAAACAAAGGGCTGTGATCAATTTCATAGGATGTAAACAAAATCTCAAAAAGTCATAGATTAGGTTACAAGTTCAAAATAAGTTCGTTCACAAGGTAAAATAAGTGTTCCACACAGGTAGTCCTCGGTTTATGCCCATAATTGAGCCCCCCCCCCTCCAAATTGTGTGGCTAAGCAAGGCAGTTGTGAAATGAGCTTTGCCCCATTTTACGACCTTTCTTGCCGCCGTTGTTAAGTGAATCACTGCAATTATTAAGTTAGCAATACGGTTGTTAATTAAATCTGGCTTCCTCACATCGACTTTGCTTGCCAGAAGGTCGCATTTATCCAATTAAAGGCCATTTATCCAATTAAAGTCACGATATGACTATTCAACAACGCAAACACGATTTTTTTTCCCCGCAGAAGCCCCCTAGAGTTGTCTCTTCTTTACTCTGCTTTGGAAAGTGTTCTCCTCCTAGGCAGGTCGGTGTATCCGGCTTGCATCTCTGTTGTGACGTTGTCTGCTAGAGGTTCGTGAGTGCCAGGCCACAAGAGGCAGGCCAAGATGGTTTGTTTGGGGTGTTTTTTTTTTTTTTTTTGGGTTTTTGGGGGGATTTAGGGGGCACCTTTCTCTCCATCTATTTGCAACCAGCTGAAAGTAGCCAACTGGAGTTTTAGCCTTGTTTGTTGTGATTATATGGTTAGTTTTAGACTTCAGGGTTTTGTAGGAACTGTAGCAATTAGACTGTCCATAAACCATAGTTTATATGGAAATCCACTTGCGGAGTTCTCTCTCTCTCTCTCTCTCACTTTGTCCTTCTTTCCTTCCTTCCTTTCTCTCTCTCTCTCTCTCTCTCTCTCTCTCTTTCCCCGCACTTTCCCTCCCTCCCTCCCTCCATCTCTCCCTCTAGCTGTCTAACAATCATCTAGCTGTTGTATCTCTCTCTCTCTTGTTCCACTGATTAATTGTTCTTTTTCTCTTTCTCTCTCTCTTTCTCCCTCCCTCCCTTCCTCTTTCCCTCTCTCTCTTTTCTCTCACTCTCCCTCCTTCCCTCCCTCCATCTCTCCCTCTAGCTGTCTAACAATCATCTAGCTGTTGTATTTCTCTCTCTCTCTTGTTCCACTGATTATTTGTTCTTTTTCTCTTTTTCTCTCTCTCCCTCCCTCCCTCCCTTCCTCTTCCTCTCTTTCTCTCTCTTTTCTCTCACTCTCCCTCCTTCCCTCCCTCCATCTCTACCTCTAGCTGTCTAACAATCATCTAGCTATTGTATTTATCTCTCTCTCTCCTTCCTTCTCCTCTGCCTCTCTCCCCAACAACTCTCTCTCTCTCTCTTTCTCTCTCTCCCCTACCTCTTTATCTGTCTATCTCTGCCTATCCACAGCGTTAATATTATAACCACAATTTGGCACGGCTCATATTTAAATCCACATCCTCATCCTTTCTTCTTTCTCTGTTCTTTTCTCCTTGTCCTTCTTGTTTTAATCCCGAAGATGATAGAGTCCTTTATAAAAATGAAAGTAGATTCCATCATGAACCGACTTCCGCCTCGTCTTCTCTTGCATGCTCTGTTCCCAGCCTGTTTGCTAAGTTTATCTCTTCCCCCCCACTCCACC